GCTTGTCCGAGCTCGGGCCGGGACGTCGAGCTCTGTACCATCAGATGAGGCGCAAAGCACGGACGTCTTATTCAGGAGACCGCTGTCACACCACTCCAAGACAGTGTCGGCCCCATTTCGCCAAAAACGTGAAACCCCCCGCAAAGTGCAGGAATAAGACGAGTCGATAGGGAACGATATGCAACAAGAGGAAATTCTTCACCGTCTGGCGCGTTGCCGGCATCAATGCCCCCACCCTCGGAAGGATCAAAGGGTAAGCAAACCACATCTTTGGCCAAGCCTGATAAGACACAGTGGGGGGTGTTGTATCGGGACTCATGCCTCGAAAGAGTAGGAACATACCAAATCTCAAAACGTCGCCTTCACATCCTCCGGTGAGGAAGAACTGCTTTACTCCCTTGTTATTTTTTTCACTAACCTGTGTGCAGACAACTGGCCAGGATATTCAAAAGTTCTAACTCTACCTGGAGATCCATAGGTTCTAAAAAAGGGCCCGTCGCGCTCTTTCCCCTTCAATCAGACTTCTGCCCCGAAGAGGGCCTCGTCATCAAAATTATTATCAGAGCAGCGTACCCTAGAGGAGGATCCAATAAGGTCGCTGGCCTTCTTCTACAGTTCAATGATGAGGGGTGATCTTCTTCTAAGGGCACCGTCCCCTCGGGAGGACCGGGAAAGGGCAGACTAAGTCTCTATAGAGAATTATGTACCGGATCAAATGGTTCGAGAAGCCAAGCCTGCACGAGCCGAGCTCACAACAATGAAACAATGTATGTCTACACCAAGCAATAAAAAGATATCTTTTCAACATCTTATTCTCCAAGCAAGGAAATCTCAAGTATACCCCTGACAGGGGCCTCTCCACCAAACGTGTCCCGAGATACTCAGAGACTTAGTGTAAGCAATTCAACACCCGAACGACCCCAGGGTCGGAACTCCGGGCTCATAAAGCCCCCATATAGCAACTCCGAGCTCACGAAAAACGGTCTTCACGCTTAAACAAATTCGATGACTCGAAGACTGTCATTCATCGCCAATCGCCATACGTTGGAAAACTCAAAACTGTAAGACCCCTAGCGAGCAGACTCGCCGTAACCAGATCTATTCTACATTACAAAAACTGTAAGACCACAACAGGCATGACAAACTGTAAAACCTCAACAGGCATGACAAACTATAAGACCTGAACAGGAATAACAAACTGTAAGACCTCAACAGGCATGAAAATCCCGAAGTTCAGGCTATACGTCGCATTTGTAAGAGTCCAGAAAGGGCATACCCTCGGTGTAGACGCCTGAACTATCACTCGGGATCAAAAATGGGTCCGACCAAACACATATGACTACGGTAAAAATGGCTGATACAGCCAAACCAACATGACTCGGGGACGCCCGACCATCGCTAAACAAAAATCGCAGGCCACTACTTCGAAGATATTTCGGAAAGAACCGATTAAAAGAGGCTTCCCTCAATAGGCAAAAATAAGCTTTGACCATGTCAACTCCAAATCACAATGCTTCGACCTACTCAGCATACAAGCTATGAACCTTTCGAGGTGCTCGAAACATCGCTGATAAAGACTTGAAATCGAGGTTCTTCCAAAACCGATGACGAGTTAGGCAAAAATATCTCAAAAAGACCTTAACGAGCGAAAAACAAAGCCTACAAAAAGCCCATGAGCAAAAATAGCGTAAGAGCCATTATATCCAGCTAAGAAAGCCTCTGGGCCATATATTAAAAGGTCTCTATGACCAAAACAACATAAGAGCCATTGTCACTAGCTTGAAAATTGACAACTTGAGGATTAAAATGTGCTCGAATCGTAACCCGATTCGGAGACCAGATCCAAAATAGTTAACTATGAAAGCCTCCGATCCATATATTAAATGGTCTCAACGATCAAAATAGAGTAAGAGGCACTATTGTCGAATTGAAAATCAAAAATACTTTAAGGTCAATTAAAGCTCGAGTCGCAATGCGACTCGGAGACTGGACCTGAAAAAGTTGAAACAACAGACGCCCGAGGGCGAGAAATGAAGGCCACCATCATCCGCCCATCCAGGAAGGAAAGAACTTGAGGGTCAATTGAAGCTCGAATCGCAACTCGACTCGGAGACTAGACCCGAAATGGCTAAACTATAATATGCCTAAGGGCATGACATAAATATGACTATCGCTAGCCGAGTGAGCCTTTGGGCTACCCACTTGTAATGTAACTTCGACCCAAAGCACAAGCGGCCATCACCGTCCGCCCATGCAGGCAGGAAAGAACTTGAGGGTCAATTGGAGCTCGCATCACAACGCGACTCGGAGACTGGACCCAAAATAGTCGAAATGGCAAATGGCCAAGTGCAAGAAATGGGAACAATTACTACCTACCACGCACGGGCATAAATTATTTAAGGGCAGGAAAGCTCAAGTCAAAGCCTGACTCAGAGACTAATCCTAAATAACTGGGCAAAGCACCGAGGCCCCAACACCTGCTCACGTTAATGATCGCACTTAAGAGCCCCTGGGCCCGTCCGATCAGTTCCGGACCAGCCTGCCTGGTCAAAAGCAATGACAGAAAAGGGATGCAGAAGAAATAAAGCTTCATGTTTCTCTTATCTTATATACGAAAAAAAGGCGTACACTCCATCTGTAGACATGCTCTATAGATATCAAATACAAAGCGACAAAACGGTGAAATATATGCTCTGCTCCAAAGGGCTATAGCTTGCTAGTTTCGCTCTTCGCCTTGTGCAATAAGTGACCGTGCATCACGCTCGTCCTCCCTTGTTCGAGTCAATTCCTCTAAGGGAACGAAGCCCTTCGCACCAATCTCCTCGAGTACTTCTCTTCGGGTCTACAACAAACATATTCCTCGATCCTCTTCTACCGGTCGAGGGCTCGCTTCAGCTCAGCTTGAGCGTCTACAACATCTTTCATACGAATCACCATCTCCTGATCAGCCTTGGTTCGGCTTAGTGCTACTTCATCCCATGCATCAATTATCTCAGCCCTGACCTTCAAAAGATCAGATTCATGTATCTCGATCATACTCGCTTGAACTTTGGCATTATCACGAGCCAAGCGGATTTGGGCATCAAAGGCGAGGACCTTGGATAAGGCGCTTATCTCCTCTAAAGCTTGAGCTTGCACTTGAGCCCTTAACTCACCAACAGGCAGTTTTGATGCGGTCAAAGTTGCCCTTAAGGTACTCCAAAGCCTTCTTCTTTCTCTGCAGCTAATATAACAAAAAGGGGGTTAACCTTAATGGCCAAAGAGAGCAAAGTGCGAGCTTCAAAAAGTTACCTGATCCATCAAATAACTCTCGTAGTTTGAGCTCCGGTACACCTCATATCGCCAATGCAACAACTCGACCTCTTTCTCCTCGCTAAGGAACCTAAGGGACTCGCCCTCGCCCAGAATTTTCTGAAGCCTCGCCCCTTGACGGAGCAGCTCAGACACAAGCCTATCATAGGCCTGTACAAGGAAAGCTCAATATGGGGAGAGGACGCGGAATATAGGAAAACTACACCTAAACTCGCCATGAAGTGAAGCCGACGGACATCCTCGAAGTCAGAATACAATTCTGTTGATCTTGCCTCTTCGGCCCCAGAATAACCGACCTCGGGCAAAGCATATTCACTCGGAGGAACCGCCGTCTGGGAATCAGATACTTCGGGAGCAGCAGACTCGGACTCTCTTTGAAAACACAGGCCCGTCCACCACCACTAAAAGCTCCATCACACTATGGGTGCCAATCTCGTTTATCGCCGTCGTCCCTCAGCTCGGAGGCCGATGCCTTTTTCTCCCCTTCGGGAGAGCACTGTGTCATCCCGAAGAACCGCCCAATACCTACAAACGGCAAAGCCGATACAAAGGAATGGAGGGAAATGTTTCCTCGAATATACGAAGACCAAGGCAAAGGCAGCGTGCACGCATACCTTTGTATTTTCCTCCCCATCCGGTACGGAATACAACTCGTCACCGATGGTCATCGAAGGACAAATGGGTCACCAGCTTTCGGACCCAACCGGGCAGGTCAAGGACTTCGCCCGACGTCCATGAAGGTTCTTCAACAAGGGAGACAACATTATTACTTGACTGATTTTCGCTATAGGCAAAATCTGAATACGTACCAGACGCTCCACTCACGTGCGTAATTCCACCATTCGGGAAATGGCAAAAGCTCCACGGGGATAATGTCGACCGTCCGGACTCGGATAAACCAACCCACCCACTCTCGATCCCCGTCCTCTTTGTCGTCCACAAAAAAAGGCATGGACGAACGTCACTTTAGGGTTAGCAGGCCCTGGTGATGAAAGGGCTGGTATAGCCTGACGAGATGGTTAAGCGTGAATTCAAGCCTAGCCTTCTCTGCAAAGAACCTCATCATCATCACATCCCGTCAAAACGACGGATGTATATGCGCCAAAGAAACCCGATACTTCAAGCAAAAATCAAGTACAACCCTATTAAGGGGACCAAACGCAAAAAGGATACAGGTATACGCTCACGAATCCATCAGTAGAGTCCGTAATACTCTCATCCGAGGGAAGTACCTACAGCGCTATCCCCTCGCTCCATCCACAGTATTTTCTCACCATCTCCAGATGTTCCCCTCTTATCAAAGACACCGTCTTCAGAGCGAACTCCTGCGATTCCTGAGCGCCGGAAGCAACACTTCCTACTCCCTACCGGGCCGACAACAAAGTGGTTGCCATGACTATGGTAAATCTAACAGGCGATTATGCTCGACAAAGGGAAGTCCCGGCAAAGGGCCACAACACGATTTAAGGGAGCTCCCCCAAACAGCCTTGAGGCCATGAGCCCCAACCATGATGTTCAGGGATAGAAGAAGATGAAATGAAGGAATAGGCAAGCAAGCCAACGAAGGCAATGGGATAGGAAAAACAACGCCAAAATGCCCCCATTTATAGGGGGTTATGATGCGGTCGTCGAGGCTTTGGAAGATTGACCGAAGAGCGCAATTAATGCATCTATGGAAAACAGAACCAATGGCGGTACCTTCACCTTGGAAAGCAAGAATAGGGAGTACATTGAATGAGGTCGAAATACACAAGATCATGGGTGCCTGGTTACCACAAAACTCGTGCCAGGAGTCGCATTATCGGTATGGTGTCGCCAAAAAAAGCTTGAGAACTCAAGTGTCAGAATATTTTCCCATCACTTCATTATGAGAAACACAGGGACTATTTATACGCGGCAAAATCAGAGGACTTGATTTCTCATTGTCGAGTCATTTCAGATGAATGCCTTGAGACCCCGAGGAAGGGAGGCCACGACCGAGTTCTCGACCTCGGGGCTCATCGAGGCCCGACTCAGAGAAAATGGACATCGAAGCCAGGACAGAGGGGGAAGCTCCCAAGGCACATGGCTAAGTCTGACAGGGCCGGCCTATCCAAAGCCTATGCTGAGGCATCACGTCAAGCCATCCCATCTCCATACTTTGTAATTAATCTCCACGTACTCATAGCCGAGTTCCCCTCCTATATAAAGGGGGCTCACACTACCTTGTAACGGACTGATGTTGCTCCATTTCTCCTCAAGTGCAATAATATCTCTCTCCCTCTCTTTTTTCTAACTTGTTTGTTCTTACTGGCCCGAGGTTACCTTATATCCATCTCTTTCTTACATGTTCTTCATCACATATCTTAGTATTGGGCGTAAAGAGCCTTGTTTAGTTATATCTTTAACTGTTATCCCATCCCTGACTATCCCTGATGGCTCGGGCTTGACCCTGACGTTGACCTTGAGGTTCCCCATCGACCAGACCTTTACCTGGGTAGTAGGCCTCTCGGTTCGATTACTATCTCGTTCTAGCTTGCATTTCGTCATTCAAGTCCTTATTACTAGCATCAACTGCTCTAACAACTAGCTCGGGAATAGATCATGTATTTTTAGAATCCTATTTACAAATATAATTGTTGTTACCATTTTCACGGTAAATAGAGGCAAGGAGTGTGACCACATTATTAAAGAAAAACATATTCACACGGTTTGGAACTGCTAGAGCCATTCTTAGTGATGGTGGGTGTCATTTCTGTAACAGGGCATTCACGAGGCTACTAGCGAAATATGGAATAAAGAATAAAGTGGCCACACTTTATCATCCCCAATCAAGTGGGCAAGTTGAAGTTTCCAATCGGGAGATAAAGAACATTCTACCAAAGACTGTTAATGCAAACTGGACCGATTGGTCAAGGAAGCTAGATGACGTATTGTGGGCATACTGCATGGCTTACAAAACTCTTATTGGAACTTCTACTTATTGGTTAGTCTTCGGCAAGGCTTATCATCTACCCGTGGAACTGGAGCACATAGCCATGTGGGCTTTAAAGAGATTGAACTTGGACTGGGGTGAAGCTGTAAATTTGAGGCTAACATAATTTAATGAAATGGAGGAATTCCGTTTCCATGCATATGAAAGTGCAGCTGTGTATAAAGAAAGGTTGAAGTTCGTCCACGACAAAAATATCTTGAAAAGGGAGTTCAAGTCAGGTGACTTAGTTTTGCTCTTCAACTCAAGGATCAAATTGTTTTCGGGCAAGCTCAAATCGAAATGGTCCGGTTCGTTCAATGTGGTCAATGTCTCTCCTTTTGGAGCTGTGGAATTAGAATCGGAGGATGGGCTTTGAACCTTCAAAGTAAATGGCCAGCGAGTCAAGCACTACTTGGGCACAGATGGAGAAAAACACTTGGTGGAGTAGTTGGCTCTCAAAGATGGTCCGTGCCCGACCAATGAGTGAATCTAAAGAAACGCCAACCTCGTCGTGCCGTGACGTTAAATCAAGCATTTTATGGGAGGCAACCCATGTGTGGTAACACCCTTTTTGTCCTGTAAATTTTAATTTTTGTTAGATAGAGTTAATTGAGCAATTTAAGGTGTGTGTTATAGTGTAATGGATTCAAAAGATCATAACACAGGGTAAAATTGTGTGTGAAAGGGAAGAAAAGTCACCATGGGAAGTTTTGCTACACATATGCGGTCACATTTTAACTATGCGGACCACATTGTGGTTGCAGACCCAGATAGTTTGTTTGGAAAATTTGGTGATAAGAATGCAGCGAAGAGGTGCACTTTGTGGGCTGCATTTCAATTATGCGATCGCATAGTGCACCACATCTTCGGCCCTCAAGCAACTCAAGTTGAATCCACTGCATAACACTTATGCGGTCGCATAATGTGTTATGCGGTGACCTACCTATCGCAAACCTTCCAGGTAAGTACCCTCGTATATCTTGAGCATTCAAACACTTTCAACACAAAAGAAAAGAATTTTTTTATCGAAAAGAAAACAAAACAAAACGAAAAAAAGAGAAGGGAGAAGGCAAAACGGCTAGTGAATAAAAAACGTAATACAACACCTGTGAAATCATCTCCCAAGTGTGCTCATTAATCCATCACTGGTATTTTTTTCGTTTCCCGATTTCATCCTTGTAAACTTTAGTTTAAATTTTGTTGTGTTTCTCCTATTTTGGTTTCCTGTCATTTTTGTTCTTTTTCCTCTTTGTAGTTGAATATATGTTCATAATGTGAGGGGGGTCTTGGATAGGAAATTAGGTTTGGGCTTCTGGGTAGTGAAACTACGTCCGCCATTATTGATGGTTGATATCAAATGTTAGGAACGATGACTTCTGCAAACCGCATAGTCGATCTGCGTTCCACATTGTTGTCACAAAACGAACTCTAGGTGGCCTGAAGAAGATGACAAAATGCGGCGACTCTGCGATCGCATAATTGATATGCGGACAACAAAGTCACCACATACTAAAACAGCTTCAATGCTTTTGTAGCATCTTATTTTTGGCCATTCTGTGATCGCAGATCCATCTTTGTGGGGGACTTTGCGATCGCATAATGTGTTTATGTTTTCCAAGCATTTAAGTATGCGATTGTTATGCGAACCGCACAATGGATATGCGATTGCATAACCCGTCGCATACATATATCATTTCAAGAGGCAGAGAGTTTGCGATAAGTTGGCGGTCCGAATAGTGGTTTGATGTCAAGCCGGAAATTGGAAAGGTTATACTATGAGTGTGGGAAAGTATACCTCGCAATATGGAACTATTCAAGCTCCAAAAGCAAAGTAGAAAGAAAAAAAAAAGAGAAAAAGAAAAAAAAAAAGAGATGTATCTATATATATAAATATGGAGTCTTGATGAAAATTAGACAGGTATGGAAGGCATTTCAATGTGGGAAATTAAGAGCTATGGATGGCTATGTGGTTTGAAAAGAAGCAAAGAGCAACAAGAAAGAAATATTTGAGTAGTGTTCAAGGAGGGTGTAATCACTTGTACCCAAATGCTTATCCGACCCTTCCCTAAACCTACATTACAAGCTTAAAAAGTCCTTATGGGATCTCCAACCGAACGTTCTTAGAATAAAGTGATGAATTAAAATAAGGTCAAGCCTATGGTATGGTATGTTGTAACACTTGAAACTCTTTTTGAGAGTGAGTGTATTTGTTAATTCGTCCCTTTTGTTGTAATTGTAAATATTGTGAGTTTAGGACTTTCTTTCTAGTGAGGGCACATGAATTGTTTGATAGGACAGAAATTATGTTTTTAAGTCAAATGCAAGTGCACTCAGCTGAGGGTAATAGTTTGTCAAATTGGTCGAGGCTTAAAGTTTCACAAGTTGATTAGTTTCTTTGTAAATAATGATGGTTCAGGAAGGGTAAATAAATAAAAGTGCATGCTTGTAGTACTGACAACTAACACCGTCCACGGTCACTATTGGTTCATATCGTTCAGATGGAGTCTAGAATAGTATAGTATCATTTTAGTTGCTTGAGGAAAAGCAAGAGTTTAAGTTGGGGGTGTTGATGTGCCGAAGAATTTAGGCACATTTAATACAAATTGCTTAGAATTTAGCTTGTTGCAATTATCTTTTATACTTATGTAATTTTAGTGTTTTTGCAGTGTATGAGGTATAAGGACTTAAGAGCATGGAAATGAAATCAAAAATCCACAAAAGGACAAGAAAAGAGCAAAATGCGATCGCGGATGTGGAAATGCGGACCGCATAATGCTCAAAGGAATCGCAAACCCCAACAGTTTGTTGGCCAAAGTCCAGTGCAAGAAATGTTGTCCAGTATGCAATTGCATAACAGGTTTGCGAGCCGCATAATGGACCGCAAACTCGTTGTGAAAGCTGCTGAAGGTGGAAAATGCAATGAGAAATGTGATTGCATATCTACAATGCGGAACGCAGAACTTGAATGCGATGAAGGCCTGGAAACTAGGGTTTGAAGATGCAATGGCCATGACGAGAATGCAAATCGCATGTCTGTTATGCGACAGATATGCAGTTGCATAATTGACCTGGAAGGGTATTTTCGTCTGATTTTGGTCCCGAATTTTGAACACCTATAAATAGATTTATTGGGGTTTTGTGGAGGCAACTTGTCTTGTTTTTGAGCTACATTCCAAGTCTTTAATATTCCTCTCTTTTGGAAGCTTTTGAGTGAAAAATCTTGCACTTTGTAAGCTTTATGGTATTTAATATTCTCATCTTTTTGTATTTTAACATGCGTAGCTAACTTTAAATACTAAGATTGTGGACCCTAAATGGGTGTCATGTTAATGGGTGTTTAACATTGAATACATGTATAATGGATGGTTGATATATATTAATTTCTCATTCTTCATTTATTGTTGGTGGTTGCAAACATTAACAAGTGCCATTAAATTCCTTCTTTACTTGGAAAAGTGAGTTAGAATTTGGTAGAAGTAAATATCAAAGACTCGAGGCTTTAAACCTTGTTTAATAGAATCGCTTAGGAATAAGTGAGTTTTATTTGGCATATATTGATTGTTCTTAATTGCAATTCTTTTATATTTGGAAAAATCATAAAGAGGAAATACTACCTAACTATTGAAAAATATTGGGTAGTTATTTACAAATCATTTGCATATCTAAAGAACTTTCCATTATAAATATATCATATTAATAACGATAGCATTACATTCCATTGAAGGAGACACAACCTTGGTTTCCTTAATAAAATTAATTACATTCTCAACATTACAATTAGTTATTTCTTCATATCACAATTTATCATACTCTTGTTATAATTAACCGAATAGAATTACAACTTAAGTCAAGTAACACACTACTCGAGTAACCTTTTCACGCATATTCCCTTTGGGATTCGACCCCAACCTTGTTGGGTTATTATATTTGATACTGACCACCTTACATAATTTAATTAAAGTGTAATTTGAGCATACCACTTTTCCAACATAGGGTCTCCACTCCCTCGTTGAATTTATTTTAGACATAGGGTCTCCACTCCATAGTCTTCTTTTCCAGCATAGGGTCTCCACTCCCTAGTTGAAGTTATTTTAGACATAGTGTCTTCGCTCCCTAGTCCGGTTTTCCAACATAGGGTCTCCACTCCCTAGTTGAAGTTATTTTAGACATAGTGTCTTCGCTCCCTAGTCCGGTTTTCCAACATAGGGTCTCCACTCCCTAGTTGAAGTTATTTTAGACATAGTGTCTTCGCTCCCTAGTCCGGTTTTCCAACATAGGGTCTCCACTCCCTCGTTGAGTTTATTTTATACATAGGGTCTTCACTCCTTAGTCACTTTTCCAACATAGGATCTCCACTCCCTAGTTGAAGTTATTTTAGACATAGGGTCTCCAATCCGTAGTCACTTTTCCAACATAGGGTCTCCACTCCCTAGTTGAATTTATTTTAGAAATAGGATCTCCACTCCCTAGTCACTTTTCCATCAAAGGTCTCCACTCCCCAGTCTCTTTTCCAACATAGGGTCTCCACTCCCTAGTTGATTTCACTGTAGATATAGGGCTCTACTCCCTAATCTTTTTTTCACAAGGATACACAATCCTGATTTTATTGTTTTCAATAAAGAGGTAGTTTAGATTTTTGTTACAATAAATCACGAAATGTTTTTAGTGAAAACTACACCGCCTACCATATAAAGCCTTGTACGGTGCCATCTGAATGCTGGACTAATAGTTGTTGTTGTAGGCAAACTTCGCCAATGGCAAGAACTGATCCCAAGACCCTCCAAACTCAATCACACACGCACGAAGCATATCCTCAAGAATCTAAATAGTGCGCTCGAACTGTCCATCCATCCGAGGGTGAAATGCTATACTCAACTCCACCCGAGTACCCAACTCATGCTATATGGCCCCCCAAAACCGCGATGTGAACTGAGTGCCTCTATCTGAAATGATAGAAACTGGAATACCATGTAGACGAACAATCTCCCGGATATAAATCTCTACCAACCGCTCTAAAGAATAGGTTGTACACACAGGAATGAAGTATGCGGACTTAGTCTCGAATGAGGAGTCCTCCTATACAGGATTCCTCCATTATGAAAGAAGTTGTTGGACAATCTCCAAAGT